CGGATGACGAGGGCATCCCTATGCGGCAGGGAGCCCGAGGGGAGGTCCGCATCTGTGAAGAAGATGGGATCCGCCCTCGGCCTTTTAGTAGGGGGCACGTGATTGACCTCCCCAATGTAGAGGGACTGTGCCCACTTCTTCCTTTGGCTCGTTGAATCGCCTCCGGTGTTGCCGCCGTTGATCATATGAATATGGCGCTTGTATTGTTGATGGGAGCCCTCTCCCTCGTCGTCGAGGCCCCCAATTTCTCGCTTCTTCCCCTGTGGGTTTCCCAAGGGGATGGTGTTGGGGTTCACCCATTTGTTAGCCTTCGGCGGAGGCCCTTGATGATGAGGGGGGCCCTGGGGAGGAGGGCCCCTGATAAACTGAGATAAGTGGCCCGCCTGTATTAGCCTCTCAACCGCGTTCTTCAGCTGATGACAGTCGTCGGTTTTGTGCCCATGGTGGCGGTGAAAGCGGCAATAGGGCTCATCAGGGCCGATGGCATAGATCTCGAGGGGTGTCCGGGAGTCTCGCTCCACGAGCCCTCGCTCTTCTGCATGATCGAGAATGACGCTGACGGGATGCGTCAAGGGAGTGCGTGGGTGCTCAAGGAGGACGGGTTGCGCCCATGCCTTTGGATTGTTCTTGTAACCGCCCCCGGGTCTGGCTTGGCCACCTCGGGAGCGATCGTTGTACTGTGCCTCTCGGTTGGCCGAAGGGGGAGGCCCTCCGGGCCGATTCCTGCCTTCATTCTTCTGGGAAGGATCCGTGTTGCGGCGGTCCTTCTCGATTTCCTCCGCTTCAGCATATCGGTCCCCCCGCTGAAGGGCCTTTGTATAATCGCGGGGGGGATCAGTAATGAGGCTCCGGGAGAAGTTACCGTTGCGGAGGACGGTGTGGAAGAGGGCCATTAGTGTCCTGTCATCAGCGCCTTCGACCTCGAGGGAGGCCTGCCTCCAGCGTTCCAGGAAACTCCGAAGGGTTTCCTCCTTCTGTTGTCTCACATTCAGAAGGTGGGAGAAGTGTTTCTTCGAGCGGTGCCTCCCGGCAAACTGCGTAAGGAAGCGGTGGGCAAGTTCTTGCCAAGAATCAATGCTGCCTTCGGGCAACCGGTTGAACCACTCGTACGCTGGTCCCTCCAAGGTGGAAAGGAACCAACGGCATAAGTACTCATCCGATGCCCCCATCATCATCATGCTGTTTTGATAACGGCTATAGTGCTCCTGGGGATCCGTCTTCCCCTCATACGGTTTGATAGGTTGCCCCCGATATTTGTGGGGGATTTTGGCCGCCAACACCCTTGGGGTGAAAGGCGTCCTAGTGCGGAGCTGAATGAGGGGCTCGCCGGAGCCTTCGGCCAGTTTACGTTTCATTTCCTCCACCTGTGCCCGGAGGTCAGCGTACTCCGGATCTGGCCTCGCTGTGGAAGCCGTCGGGGGTGCCTGGCGATTCTCCTCGAGTTGACGGAGGAGGGCTTCAATGATTTCGTCCTTGGGGTCCTTCGGAGCAAACCCTTGGGAGTTGGCCCGGAAGGACTGCGCTTGATTGATCTGGTGTCTGGCGTCATCGGCATGGAGGATTGCTTTGCCCTTGCTTCGGGGCGGAGGTATGCCCTCGGCTCCCGAAGCGGAGGCTCCGCTCTCCTGAGGCCTGCTGAAATCCTGTTTGCCGAGGCGGTCTTGGACCCCTCGGCGTACGGGAGCTCCCCCAAGCCTCTCAAGTGCAGAGGTCCGGGGTTTCTCCTCCATCAAGGGACGTTTATCCCTGGATTGGGCCTCTTGGGAGGCGGTGTCCTGTGCCATGATCCCTTCGGCGTTTCCAATCCCCGGGGGAGGATTGGTGAACAGAGGAGGGAGCGGTGGTAATTGAATAACATTCCCTCCAGCGTAGGGCTGGAGGGGTGCCTGAGAGGCGAGGGCTCCGGAATTGAGAGCCATGTTTTGAACAAAGGCCGCAAAGGCAGCCTGAAGATCGATGGCCGAGGCCGGAGGAGGAACTTGGTTCTCACTCCGATCCCTCCTTCGATTATCAAGGCCAATGCGGGCATCGGGGGTGTTCTTCTGCAGCTGCTGACGTAGGTCAGCGGTGGCTTGCTCTAGTTCGAGGATGACACCACCCTCGGGTACTAAGAGCCTGTTGGAGGCCTCAACCCCGTTAGTTTCGCCGGGGGCTACGTAGTTTTCCTCGAGGGTCTTGGATTGGGCACGGGTGGTTCTTCCCATTTTTGGTGAGTGTTTCGTATTTGGTAGAGGGGGAGGGTTTCTTACTTGATAGTTCAGACCTCTCAACGAGAGCACCAAATGATGGACAATCTACCCGGGGGGTATCTTATCCGAAGGGTTATTGCGGAAATAACTAGAGAGAAGTCAGAGCAAATAGGAGGAGAGAGAGTCGATTTTATTAAATGAACTCAGCGTGTGGAGTTGAGATGTAGGTTGTGTCGATTACAAGGAGGAATGGGCTGCTATTTATAGCAGCAATAAATGCGATGAGAGGACACGTGTCAGTAATCCAACGGCCGAAGGGTCACATCAGCCTAGTGGCACCGGCAGTGGTACGTCAACCGCATTGAATGCGGTTGGCGGATGCGACGTGGCATTAAATGCGGTGGTTGGCTGTCTCTAAAAGGAATCTTCGATGATTGAGCTAGTTCAGCCGTAGGCTTCTTGCGTAGCCGAGGGCTCCTTGTGTAGCCGAAGGCTTGGCTGAGCCGAGGGATTCCCCTGGTGCCGAGGGCTCCATAGTGCCGAGGGCTCCCGTTTTCTGTCAATTTCTCCCAGTAGCTTCGCATGGTCGAATATGGCGGTTCTGTGAGTTCTGGAGCCTTCGGCCAAGGTGGCCGAAGGCATCCCTGTGTGTACCGTGGCCTTCTTGACGCTTGGGCCGCCGAATCTTGGGCCTCCTGAGCTCCTTGAGCTTGTTGGGCTTGTGATAGATTAGTAGGAGTCTTTGGGCCGGGGGTTCCTGGGCCATATACTCCATCATCAAGTTACCATAACACTACATTGTAGTACCTATTAGTCATATTTTTGTAAATATATTTTATTTTAATGATATTTAAAAAAAACTTATTATAATGACGCCTTAACATCCGTCAACCTCTATTTTCAAAATTAGGTTGTTGCAGGCTCGTTAAAAACGAATCTATATTTCCTAATATACATGTTCTTGTTATAGTGCAAAGGAACAAAACAAGTCAAGTTGTTTGTGGCCCGTTTGTAAATCGTTCGGCCAAAGTTCAATACTCATTAAGCTATTGAATCAACTCAATCAAGTGCGATTCCATTTTTACTTGTCTCATTAGCTATTACACACAAGCTCACTCACATATAATCAAAGGGTGTTATAAGATACACATAGACAGAAAATTATCAAAGTATCAACTTAAACTAAAATAGATTAAATCAGATCAGAAAATTTTCAGGGAGATTGCACAAAAGTGCTTTAGAGTTTAGATATATAAACTTCGTATAAAGTAATACTGAGTAAGTTCTTCCCTTGTCCATTTAAATTTCATTTTTCTTTTTGTGTTGTCTCAAAAAAAAAAACTTTTCTTTTACCCAAAAAAACTTCTCCTTTTGATAGTATTTGACTAGTAAAACAATGAAAAGTATACTATTAATTTTATTTGTCATATTATTATTGATGAAGAGCATACTTAGATGTTAAGAATATTATTCTTCCTAAAAATCATGAATTCAAACTAACAATTTAATTGCGCATAGAGAGTCTATATACATAATCTCACATGTTCAGGAATGGATGTATATGCATTATTGGTGTATTAGGGCATCCCCAGGTTTATTTAGGGATTATTTTGATGATGTGAATGATATTTATTGAGATTATGGTTAGTCATGGACCCAAGCCGGGCCCGGACGAGCTTTTTTTTTGGGAAGGAAGGCCCGGGACCGGCCCGGGTAGTCACCGGGTCCGGGCCGGACCGGGCCGGGCCTCCGGTTCGGTCATAATTTTTTTTTTTTTTTTGCTTTCCTAACCCCCCCACTCACCCCCCACCCCCCCACCCCAAACCCCTCCTAACCATCAAGCCCAACCGGGCTAACCCCAAAAAATGAAAAAAAAAAAACAAAAAAAACAATTCGGCCCGGGCCTGACCCGGCCGGGCCGGTTCGCCAAATACAAGGCCCGAGCCCAGACCCGCCCCCCCCACCGGGCCTAGGCCCGACCGGGACCCGGACCCGAGAACCGGGCCGGTTCCGGGCCCGCACAGTGGCGGGCCGATCCCGGGCCGGGCCGGTCTCGGGCCGGTCTCGGGCCGGGCCGGTCTCGGGCCGGGCCAGTCCCTGGCCGGGCAGCCCGAACCGGGTCCATGCCCAATTATGGTTGAGATGTTGAGATTATTTAAAGAGATTATTTGTTTAAAAATCTGGTATCAAATGTTAAATTTGAATTAGATATTGCCACACCACATGGATCGCCAACATCACCCAACATCTATTTGAAGTATTTAAAAGGTTGAATGTGTCATGTCGGAGTGCGAAACTGAAGTCTTTTTAGATTTTACCAACATCTATATTTTCCAATGTTTAGTACGGAGTATAACAGAATATGCGTAGTAAATATGAGTAAAGAAATAGAACACATAACATGGCAATAACAAGCCATAAAAAACGGTAAAATTGAAAGCCCAACCCGGCTAACCCCAAAAAATGGAAAAAAAAAAAAAAAAATCAATTCGGCCCGGGCCCGGGCCTGACCCGGCCGGGCCGGTTCGCCAAATACAAGGCCCGAGCCCGGACCCGCCCCCCCACCGGGCCTAGGCCCGACCGGGACCCGGACCCGAGAACCGGGCCGGTTCCGGGCCCGCACAGTGGCGGGCCGGGCCGGTCCCGGGCCGGGCGGCCCGAACCGGGTCCATGCCTAATTATGGTTGAGATGTTGAGATTATTTAAAGAGATTATTTGTTTAAAAATCTGGTATCAAATGTTAAATTTGAATTAGATATTGCCACACCACATGGATCGCCAATATCACCCAACATCTATTTGAAGTATTTAAAAGGTTGAATGTGTCATGTCGGAGTGCGAAACTGAAGTATTTTTAGATTTTACCAACATCTATATTTTCCAATGTTTAGTACGGAGTATAACAGAATATGCGTAGTAAATATGAGTAAAGAAATAGAACACATAACATGGCAGTAACAAGCCATAAAAAACGGTAAAATTGAGGAGGATGAATGGAGATGCTCTTAATCAGTGTAAATAAAACCTGGCCACTACAAGTAATCTTCATAAGGATGTGAGACTCTTTCCTGTCTTCTTTAAACCAGCAGAGATCCTCTTAAAACAGTAAATTCAGTCCAGCTTGATACGAGTCTACCACGAGGATCACACATGGATCGCAACATCAGCAAAATTGCCACACCAGCAGCTTTCATGTTCCAACTAATTTGTTGAAAGATTCTCGTTTGTTGAGAATTTCTTAAGGTGGGAAAAGAGATGTTGTCCTTAATTCCTATTAATAAAAATATGACAATAGATGTTGTATTTCCAATAAATTAGAAATAGATATTGCCACACCACATGGATCGCCAACATCACCCAACATCTATTTGAAGTATTTAAAAGGTTGAATGTGTCATGTCGGAGTGCGAAACTGAAGTCTTTTTAGATTTTACCAACATCTATATTTTCCAATGTTTAGTACGGAGTATAACAGAATATGCGTAGTAAATATGAGTAAAGATATAGAACACATCTAACAGTTGCATAACATGTAACGTTTTCATTCACTCTTGCCATGATCACCTCCAGCCAATGAATGGAGAGGCTCTTGATCTACAGAAGAATCCTTTAGAACCTGCGAAATAAACAAGAGGTTGTTTATTTACTGGTCTCATTGTCTAATTATCGAATCAGATATGCATAGGTTGTCATAAATTTGGTTTTCGTTTACTAAGGTGATTGACAAGAGAGCAGGGAGAAGATGTTTCTGTTATTGCCATTGTAATCAGTGCAACAAACATGGGAGACAAAAGAGAGTTAGATCAAGTTCAGGAAAAGTACACTCATACAAATAAAAAGAACTTAAAGTTATAGACATTTCAAAACTACACCAACAGGGAAGTTTCCGAGAAATGTCTAAACACACAACTCCCACTGAAAGAAAAAATCAGTCTTCGATGGAACCCCAACAATCCCAGGTGCGAATTTCTTAAGGTGGGAGAATAGATCTTGCAATATTGTCATGAGGAATTAAGGACAATCTTCACTTAAGTAGTCCCTCCCATAATGTTTAAAACATGGTTATTTTGTTATTAGTTATTACCCATAAACTGCATGCTAGTAAATTTAGACAGCAGGAAACATCCCTAGAAAATGTGCTTCCTTTCTTTACCACATACTCCGTACATGTTAGTTTTTGTGCAGGCAACAACAAAAGAATTGTAGGAGGAAGTTGAAATTAGAGTTTAGCATGAGCAGATGATACTACTTTTTCATCCTTTTACAGATGACTAATGGGTGGCACTGGCACTAATGCCAAGAAGAGACAAAAGCAACTACACCAAAAGCTAATGGCCCTTGCCCATTAACTTGAGCCAATATTCTACTCTTAAAATGTAGTAAAAAACACAACCACTGTGTCTCTATAATTCCAACCAACCATCCCACTAAACTCAGTATATCCCACTCAGGAGTATCCTTGACCAAGACCATTAATAATAACATTTGGGATTCTTCAAACCACGCCTTGTACTTGCAAATCATGCATCATAAATCTCTAAATATGGATTGAAAAGAAACTATATGTCAATATACATAGTAGTGAATAGATTCAAAATGGTTACCTCTAAAGTACACTCATATAAATAGCCCCACATAAATCACTTTAGCAAATAAAAGATAAATATTTCAAGCAGCTTCTTTCAATACATCATTTCATTGAGATCCAGCAAATATAGCATTGGCAGTGTGATACCAGTATACCACTCACCGTACATACATAACAAACACACACGTATAATAGTCCTTTTATTTGTTATTAAATGTATTTCCTTTTACTAACCTTTTAGTTATGATACATCTTAGACATTTAATTACGTCCGACTCTCCTTACTTCCCTATATACAGGCTCATCAATATACAACCCAAGCTTTCTTGAACTACTTGCTCCAACCTTTCCATTCTCTTAGGGTATTTGAGCCTCAGATCCACGTTTCTCTTCATTCTATAGACTATCAGCAATCCCTCAAAACCAAATTCATACTTGTTTCTTCTTCCAAAAGCTTCATTGATTAACCTAAATATAGGGGAGTAGGTAGGGGCTATACTAGGACCCGGCCCACTCAAATTTGCGAAAAGCCTCAATGTTGTATTGTTGTGTAACAAATTAAGTAAAAAACAAGAAAAGATCTTTGTATTGGCCCACTCTAACGTTTTTCCCGACTACGGCACTGTCAGTATAGACCATCAACAAACAACAACAATAACAAAAATTGATTCCAACTGGAAACAGCGTATTCTGTTCATCCTAAATTAGGGACCTGTTCCAAACAAAGGTATTCTCAACCCAGTTCTTATTGTTTCAATTTAAACAGTTACAGAAATTCCTTTTGTACACACCAAGTTTTACATGCCGGGTTACACGCCGGTCAAATTGTCTGTGTACAGACAATTTGACTAGCTACACAGACAATTTGGCGTTTTATGAAAAAAACCTATTTTCATACAGACAAAAAAAAAATTGTCTGTATCACAGACACTATGAAAAATTCTGGTCTAAAATGGATCACAGACAACTATTTATATGCTAATCAAATTGTCTGTGTAGCCGATCAAATTGTCTGTACACAGACAATTTGACCGGCGTGTAACCCGGCGTGTACACGAAGCGGGACTCAAACAGTTAATAGCTAAAACTAAACTAAACAGGAGATGATATTTTATCCTATTTACCAAACTTTTTTTCCTATATTTAGGGCATGGAACTTTACTAATATTTAGAATATCTTTTGCCGAGTTGAAATTCAAATGGTACTAAAATTTATTAATTTAATATCGCTGTTAACATTTATCAAATTAGAGTTCTATCATTGTGACATTGTGTATGTTACTTACTGAATTATTGGGCTTGGTGGTCGACGGTTTATAAGGACAAGCTGGAGGAGCCCTAGCAGGTTTTTGGTACTCCTTCCCAAATAATCTGTAAATCTTCGCCTGCAGAAATAATAGTTTCAGACCTTGATCTTGAAAAAAGAAGCTCTTGAAAATTCATAAACAAAATTCAAAACGAAGGGACCTGATATGTAGAATGATGTGTGTGGAGCAGTTACCATGATAAAATCGAAGAGAAGTGGCAAAAGGTTCACAATTGGAACAAGGAAGAGCGGCAACAAACACGCCAAGCAAACCTATTTCTCTCCAAATTGAGTATTAGAAATGAACAAAAAAGTTGAAGCAGAAAACGAGCGATCCAAAGTATGAAGAATTACCATGTCCACTTCAATAAGACTCAGGCTTTGTTCGATTTGGTTCGGCGATTGGTAGATTTTCAACAAAGGAGAGAAGGCTCTGGGGAGTGGTGACCAAACGTTTTTCTTTTCTTTTCTTTTTGGTAAAAGTCTGCACCCCCTATTTAAAAAAATATGCAAATTTCTTATTTGAGGTGCAACTAACTTAGTAATAGTAATAAAAAGAAACTCTAAGCTTTTTAATAAAGTTTAAAGTGGTTACTAATAAAGTGGTTCAAAAATAAAAGTAGTAGTTGAAACTTTTGTACAATGAAATGAAATAATATGTACCACAAATTTCTTACCAAAAAGGAAAACATGACATCTATTTTGGAACAACCCAAAAAAGAAAGTAAGACAACCAAAATGGGACGGAGGGAGTAATACTTTCATCTCAGACTTTTAAAATGTGTGTAAGTTATCAGACTATTTTTTTGCCTATCACCTTCTTCGTGGAATCCATCGCCATCATTTGAGATTCAGCGTAAATCATCACTGCTTATTAGGTTCTCGTTGGCACCGTCGGAAATCGAGATGTTACTGCCACAGTTGATTCTAAAGATCGCACGCACCTGAGATTGTCTTTGTTGATCATTGTATCCAGAAGAAGGCGACTAGGAAACGACCAATTGAGCCAGTGATTGATGATTTATGGTTCTGCGACAGGTTGGAGGTCGGAGATTGAGTTTGAGTTCGACATGTTGCATTCCTAAATGAGGGTCATTGTAATTCTCGAGGTTAATTTAAAAGGATTAATAGCGCTACTCATACAGGTGCATCTCCTTTTATGGGAGTTCATATGCTAAAAACTTTAAATTAAGCGTGCTTCCACAGAAGTAATCTTGGGATGAGTGACCCTCTGGAAAGTCCATCAAGATGCGCAGTGTGCGGTAAAAGGCTCATGTTGGTTTATGAGAACAGTACTAGGTCTGAAGAGTACACTATCAATATAAAAGATACAAGGGAAAAATACGGAAAAGGTACTTGTGGTTGGACCCGTTTTCAGATAGGGTCATGTGTTTTATTCTTTATCAAAGTGGCTCATGTGCTTGAAATCCATTATCACAAGAGGGTCACGCCGTTAAAAACGTCTGAAAAAGACCGTTAAAAGTAACTCTGATGTTCAAAAGTGCCCAAAAATGAAAAGAAAAATATCGGAAGGTACGCCTCAATTAGACGGCCGCTAGGACATCTTTCTTTTTCTGTTTTCAGCCACCCTTGTCACCCTAAAGTCCACCGGAAAAATGATATTACTGAAATCGTTTTTAAAAAATAAATCAAACAGATCTGAAAAATCCAAAGGCGAAGGTGGTTTGGAGGTCATCTTGACGAGGCGCACCTTTCGGTATATTTCTTATAATTTTCCGGGCACTTTTGAAAATCGGGGTTACTTTTAACAATTTTTTTCAGACGTTTTTAACGGCGTGACCCTATTGTGATAACGGAATTCAAACACATGAACCACTTTGATAAAGAATGGAACACATGACCTTATCTGAAATGGGCCCAACCACAAGTACATTTTCCGTACTTTTCCCAAGATACAATTAGAAAAATGGTTAAACTACACATTTTGACCTACACACTCTAAAATTTTGAAATCAATAACAAGACATTCCATACATAAGAATTCAAATGAGAGCTTGAAAGAATATCATCTCATATCTTCAAACCAACTCTCAACAAAGTTCGTCCTTGTTCTTCAACACACTTGGAGATCTTCATCTTCATATCTCGCCTACGAAAAATTTTGAGGAAATTCTTTGTTTCTAACAAAGGAATGCTTTTTGCACAAGAAGGGGCACCAAAGTAGTTAGATAGAAGTGAGGATACTTCCAGATATTTAGAAAATGGTTAATCATTAGGGATTTGCTTGCATTCCCGGGTGACAATGACACTACTCTTTAAGAAGACATGGAGAGCTTCTTAGGAGATATTGGTAAGTTTGAACTTTGTACCTTGACAGATTCCGCTCACGAGACTTAGAAGCCAAATCTGATTTAGAGTGTTTCTAGGCTACCCGAGACTAAACTTGAATATTCGAATGCAAGACTAAATTTGTGAGATTTAGTCCCAACTCTATTGACATATAGATTCTATTAACTAGAAAATAAGATTTCAAAGACCGGCTATTCACCTCTAGACTATGTTGATGAATTACTAGCAATACTATCCTAAAGTTGTCTTCAATGAAGTGGGTTAAGAGGATTTCAGTCATCCTGCTTCTTTCTTCATCATTTAAACTTCTTCCATCATTTGTTGACTGTCTCACTGTTGCTGAACTGTGTTGCAAGAGAATATGCAGTCAGGGCTAGTGTGGATGTTGGAGTTTTCACTTTTTTCATTTTTGGGGTTGCTACTATTAAGAGTTGCAGGAGCTATAGTTACATGACTTAAAGGTCGTATGGTGTACTCAATCGGGTAGTTCTGAGAGTAAATGAGGTTATAATAGAGTAGATATAAATAGAGTGAATTGGGGTCAAGTTCAAAACATGACTTGAATTAGCTTGGCCGAAAATTTGGAGATAATTTTTCTTCATGTTCTTTGTGTGTTAGATTTTGTAATACTATTGGATGTGATTGGTAATGAGTGGAGATTGTGATTTTTAAATTTAATATAATTGTTGTGAATGAGCTACCCCAATTATGGTTTCATTACCCCACTCTCCTCATTTTGGTCTCACTTGTAGCGTTAAGGGCATAAGGGCATTTCTGGAATGTTAAATGCAAATTCCAATCTACCTGAAAGGCTGAAATAGCATGCTAGTTAAAATGTGAAGTTCTTTCCAAGAGGGAGCAACTAGCGAGTAATACTATGTTATGCCACTTTTAGGGAATGTTTGCAACAATTTTATAAAAAAAACTTCTTAGCTTTTGACTTAAAAAACACTTATTTACAAAACACTACCAATTTTTACTTTTTCTCGGCTTGCGTGTGAAAAGTGATTTTCCCTTTTCTATTACACAAAAAACTCTTATTTTACCAAACACTACCAACTTTTACTTTTCAAAATCACTTTTTTCTCAAACACTACCAAACTTTTACTACTAATCACTTTTTTCTTACATCTCCAAAAGTATTTTTTTTAAACAGAAGCAGTTGCATGGGCGGAGTTAGGGGTGGGCCAACCTAGGCCCTGGCCCACCCCAAATTTTAAAAATATCTTAATTTTTAGTGTAAAAAATTCCGGTCTAATTTTTTTCAAAAATATTCTTTGTATCGGTCCAGTGCGGCCCAGTGCTCTGGCTCCGCCCGTGAGCAGTTGCAAACACTCCGTCTCCAGCTATTGCATCAGCATCTTTGTTGCATGTCTGAATTTTTTTTCTCCGACTATTATCACAATAACACTTACGGTCTTTCACTTAATGTGACTAATTATAGTTGAATGACCAAATCTGTCTTTCTAATAGCTAGAGGACTAAAGGTGTTGTTATAGTTCAAAGTCCAGTGCTAAAAATGCATATGTCACAATAGTAAAAAACCGAATGAAAATTCAAATCTGAGTTACAAAATTGACATTTACACACTAGCTATATCTCAGAGAGACGTCAATAAATTAAGATGAATGCATATTATGATTGATTACACAAATGAGGAGCGTTCAAAGTTCATGCATCAGACTGTAATCACTGACATTTCATTCTCATGTTGACAGATATCAGGAAATACATGTTCCTTAAAGTGCCAAATACGTAGTATTCGTTAAGGTTTAGCTATGCTTTGACTCCCAGGTTCCGTGTAACTCTTGCAGAAGGCCTCAGTACAGTAGCAAACAGGATGACCAGCTCCTTTCCAACCATTATAGCCGTTCTCCAAAACCATAATCCTCTTTATCCCTGTATTATCTTTATCTGCCGTTTGAGAAAGATATTCTGCAAACGTTCGTGCACACCTTGGTCCCCGTATCTACAAAGTTAAGAGTGATTCTTAATAATTACTCCCTCCGTCCCCCTAAGTTTGGGACGGATGGGTGTGGTGTGGTTTTTAAGAAAAAGTGGAATTGTGTGGTTGGTATTGAATTGATAAAGTGTGAATAAAGTAAGAATGAATTCTAATCACTCAAATGTTACCAAATATGGTATGGGACAAACTTAGTGGGACGGACGAAAAAGGTAAAACGGGACAAACTCAGGGGGACGGAGGGAGTAATATTTAGCTTCAAAATGCCCCACATTATTTTACACAACAATAATTGATAAAAAGCAGCAAAAGGCTTGGGGCCTTTGAGCCTTTCAGTAAGATTCGGCATTTGGAAGGGTGACTTGAAAAGGACAAACAGTATACAAGGTGTGAAAACTATATGGACTAAAACACAAATTTCAACCCAAAGATATATGTTACACAACAAGCACAAGACATATGGTACACAACGAACAGTATTTAAGCATTAGTTCTAAAAGAGTTTGGAGTTTACTAACATGATTCGACATTTGAAATCAGAGCTACAAAGATATTAAAAAAATAAGATAAGATAAAAAAGATGGGAAAAAATATTAAAATAAGATAAAAATAAGATAGAGATATTTTTTTTAAGATAAGATAGAGATATAGAATATAAGAGAAAAAAAGATAAGAAAGATATGTTACATATGCAGTATATTAAAAAATCAAATTTATCCTTATTTTGTTAAGCTTATGCAATTCTCACCACATTTCATATCCTGTAAAAATATTTAAAATGATATAGTACTCAACTCTGTTTCAAGGACTAAAATACAAGGTAGATGCTTTTCAGCTCACCCTTCCAAACAGATAAATTTCAAACCCTTCCTAACAGATAATTTTTCAAGTGACCCATACAATTCATGTAAAAACTAAAACTAAAACATACACTAAAGTGCATCTGTATTTTACGCAACTCAAAGCCGATCATGGATAGATACTAAACAATATACAAGGTGTGAAAATTATATGGACAAACAAAATATTGTAAAACAGAGTTGCGCAAAATAGCATTTTAAATATTTCAAAATGCATAAATTTGAAATTTGGATAGAATTGCGTAAATTTAACAGAATAAGGATAAATTTGAAAATATTTTTGAAGAAAAAAAACAGCACATGTAATTTATCTTTCTTATCTTTTTTTTCCTTT